GTGCGTGCTAGCGCACCATAGCTAGCAACATGCTAGCAGTAGCTAGCTGCCGCAAGCCTTACGTGCTAGCAGCGCACGCAAGGGCCAGCAGCCCGCACTTGTGTGCATGGCTTGCTAGCCATAGCAGCAGCCCGCAACATCAAGTGCGGGGCTGAGCTCTCAGCTGGGCTGCGGCTAGGCCATAGGGCCGAGTACTAGGGGAAGCAAGTGGGAGCCTATGGAAGCAAGTGGGGCGAGGGACATGTGGCACAAGGAGAGTATTGAGTGGGGAGCAAGTATGGTCCCCTACTCTCCATGTGGTCCTCACCACCCTTTACATATGATAGTGCTACTTGTAGATCTATTATTAGTTTGCTTATTTATTTTAATTTAGCTTTAAAACAAATTGTGAAATTTCATGACTCCCACATTGATGGGATAGAAATTCCCACTCTCCCTCTTGCGTATAAATACCCACTTGGGTTTTTGTGAAGAGTGCTTGAGTAGGAGTTCAATAGAGCATTGCATTAGCAAAAACTCTTAAATTCATATAATACTCGGGTTTTGGTCGATCCTCGCTAAGCTCGAGGTAATGGACCTAAAAGTCGCTCTTTTTGCGGGTGGATTTCCGTAGGAGGCTCGCATATTTTCGGAGCTTAAAGCTTTCAAGTAAGAGCCCGACTTTGAGGGCGAAGCACGTTTCAAAGGTAAATTCCAATTTTACCCTTTTATGTTTATTTGTTATGCTTTATGGTTTTATTAATTGCGAGTGGTTCTTTGGGTCGGGGTTATTTCCGCAGTGAGTCGGACTCACCAAACCCCAAAAACGGTATCGGAGCCTCGCTCGTTTATTTTTAAAATCATAATATTTTTCAAGGTGTTTTTATGGCTTAATTTTTCTGGTTTTGAGTTGCTAATTAGATTAGTAGCTCGTTTTATATATTTTAACCTCGTATTAAAGCTATCATCAGCCCCGAACCCAGATTTCGACCCAAAAAATAGTGAATTTTTGGTTGAAAAGGCGTTCTGGAAATGGTTTTTTCCTCTTTAGTACGGTTTTTAGCCAAAAAACAACCAGAAATGCTTTTCGAGGGATGTATCGTTTTGACGAAAAATTTTAAGTCTTTCTAACCTTGAAAATTAAATGCATATTTATGGTGGTTATGTAATTGGTCCAATACATATTTTATATGCAATTTTAAACCTCTTTAGGCATGATTACTTGGTGGTAATTTGTGCTTGAAAGCTTGGTTTTATTTTTCACATAATTGCAAACTAAATGCATTAAGTGTGAAATTGTTGTTCTTTGAGGCTTCCAAGTACTAAAGAGTCAATCTTTAATTATGTTAAGTGATTGAAACTTTAAGTTACTAAATTCCATGAATTTTTGTTAACTTTTGTTGATTTAATCATTTTTTAGTTGATTGGGATCATAAAGTTTGAAACTTTGTGATAGAAAATTGTTTATCTTCACATTGGAAGATATAAATTTTTCAAGGATTCACAAGTATTAAAGTTGGAATCTTTATTGAACTTATGTTCATTTTTCCAACTCCCTTTTATTTTGTGAAAAACTCAAGATTAATTTAAATTAATTAAATTAATAGTGAGTAATTGCCCTCTTATTTTTTGTTGCACCAAGTTAAACCAATTTAATTAAAGAATGGTTCTTGGGAATTATTTTAATTAGATGCACTTTGAAAATTTTATTTTAAGTTAGACTTGTTTAAATTTTAATTTTGCTAAATGAATTAATCCTAAAATTAATTTAGAATTGATTAGATATGTCACAATAAATCGGGAATTAATCTCGAGGCACAAGCACGCAAACCAAGGCACAATAGCCATGTGCATCCCTCGGCCAGTTGGGCTGCTCGCACAGCCCGCATGTGGATGCTGAGGGAGAAGGCTACTGCGTATGGTGCTAGGTGTGTGCGAGGAGCTGTGCGCTGACTTGGTGCATGAGGGGCGTGCGAGAAGATGCTAGGCGTGGCAACAATGCTAGGCAACTGCAGCTAGACGCGCATCGAGTGCGCGCTGCCAAGTAGTGCCCAGCAGCTTCACAGCACGCAAGGCCGAGGCTGCTAGGCAAGGGCCTAACACTTGCGTGCTGTGAGTGCTTAAGGGTGCTAGGCTTAGGTAGTCGATGCACTTTTTCTCTCGGTTTTAATTTTGCTTTTTGGCCATTTTCTTTATTGTAATTAAAGTTTTGGAGGCTAGGTCTCGGGTTTTGAGTGGCATTGGCAAAATTTATTTTGACAAATTTTGGGTTTTACCGGCTTAATTAAATGGATTAATTAAGTTTGATGCGGAATTTAGTGGGAGCTTCAAATATTAATTGCGCTGTTTTACATAATCGATTAAAACAACTTTGACTAGTTTTAATTAGGAGTGTTAATTGGATTAACCACCTAGATTAGTTACTAGTTCACGCGTGTTTAGGCATTGTTACTTGTTTATCGTTGTAAAATGCATGGGTCATTCACAGATAGTGAATGGATGAATGGAATGTATATTCTCTCACAGGTTTTATGAAATGGCAACTAGTGGGTCCCGATTAGGATAGAAAATACGGATTGCGATCCGTGATGTATTTTTGTAAATCTAAATACGGTCCTGCGAACCGTTGAGTATTTTTATTCCTTAATATTTAGATTAGTGCAAGATAGCTCAAGTGGGAGCTAAATTTTTGTTTTACAACGAACTTATACCCAAAGACAATATACATGTCTCTTTGTAAGCATTCAAGTGAGACCATGGGCATTACCTCCACAACCAAATTGAGAACATAGTGTATGTTGCTCTAAGTGGTGTCTTTCTAGAAAATAACACGTTTCCAAAACAACAAGTGGGAGGAAAATGAACTCGATGACAATTGAGCTTAGCAACAAACTAGAACCGAGAATCTCGGAAGACCTTAAAAGGGCTTCGTGAGAATTCTTGATCAAGAATACTCAAAAGGACTTTACAAGTGCCTTAAAATAGAATTCATTACTCACAAAACATCAGAAATGTTGGATTAAGATCAACATAATAAAAGGGCTTTGGAAGCGCCTTGAAACTCAGTGGTTGATGCAATTGCCCCGTATAGGTATAGAATTCACCAAAGGCTTGGATTGAATCCTATAAATTTTTATTAAGTTAGAAATAAACCTAAGACTTACAAGCATACTATTTACTATTAGATAGCTACGACAAATCCAAATTCCAAATAATGGTTAGAGGCCATAAAAATCCGAGATAGAATCCATGTTTGAAAATCATGTATGAAACTTGATTAATTTGCATAAAGGGTAAAAGACCCATCGATTGGAAATAAGTTTTCAAGTAGGTAACTAACAAATGTGGAAATGTATATGCATACAAGCTAGATTGGTTGAAAAGGATACAATTAAATTCACGGAGTTGATTTTAATAAAAACCTATTCACCAATCGGAATGCTAAAGTCTTTTCGTGATTGTTTAAGCAAAATTGCACATGTGAAATATGGAAAAATAGATACCAAAACCGCCTTCCTAAAATAGGATTTTGGAATTGACTATGAAAATAGTCCAAGGGTTTAGAAAATCTAAATGATGCTAGATTTGAAAGCAAGCTCAAGGAATCCGTCATGGGATTAAAGAAAGCATTGTATATAGGAATTGGAACGTGTTTTCTCATAAAGTTAATAAGAGGATTGGCTTATGGAGAAAAATAGAAATTCTTATGAATAAGAAGTTTAGTGGGAGCAAAAGTAAAGGTCCAACGAAAAGTTAATGAACACTCTGTTGTGAAATAACTATCAAATGCTAAATGCTTAGATTTGAAAGTATTTTCGACAATGGACCAAACAAAAGACGATACTTATTACGTATTGGGTATTAAGTTCTATTGTATATACTTAATAAAATGTTTGAACGTGTAACGGAGTTTACCATGTTAAACATGAATTGAAGGACTTTGAAAGACTTTCGACCCATTATGTATAAAATTAAGTAAATGTTTAAACTAAGTATAAGCTAAATACTAAGTCAAACATGAAAGATTCTAATAGAGACTTTCAACCATATCATATAGCAAACAATTTAGCAAAGACTCAATGAAACTAAATGAGCTAAAATGTCAAATTGATGGAATAAGATTGAGAATTACTATGCAATTTAATCCATCATGTATGCTGTGATATAGAATCGTCGCACGACTTACTTGCTTAGAGCATCTGCAATATGTATGTAGTACCAATCAACATTAAACTATGTAATATATCGTAAGATAATGGCCATGAACATCCAAAGTACTTGGATAAGTAACAGGATGAGTTATTGACTTGTGAAAACAAATACGATTTGAGAATTGATGTTGTAAGCACAAACCTTAACAAGGATTAGATCCTTAACAAGGAAATCGTTTATGAGCACGAGCTTAAAATGAGTCGTGGCTTGAGAATGGTAACACGGACGTGGATCCATGTGTAATGTGCAGGAATTTAAGGAAAATTCCATGATCACAAGTGATTAGGGTATCCCAAATCATTGTGAGCCATTTGGAATGAAACCCAAGCAAAGCATCATCAAGAAGTCTATTAAATATATGTTGCGAAAATTGTTGCCTTTATGGCGATAATAAAGAAGATTTTCTATGAAAAGTTCTTTGCTAAACGTTAATGATTGTAGGTCGTCAAGTTGAAGGTCTCAATCATGAAAATGAGTGGGAGCCATCACTTGGAGAATAAATCCTAAATCACATATAATCCATGACGCTAGTAGAAAAAAGCATTTGGCCATCGGTTCAAAACCCCCCTATGCCACCGGTTTTGAACCGGTTGGCATTTGGGGGGCGGCAATAGTCTGATGCAAAGCCACCGGTTCAAAACCGGTGGAAAAAACAAGTATGGCCACCGGTTAACCGGTGGCAATAACTTTTCCCGGTTTTTTTTATGGGGTTATTGGCACCGGTTCCTGTTCATAACCGGTGCCAATAATGGCAAAAAAAAAAAAATTTGCATTTTTTTCACTTAAATTGATAAATAAACACTAACATATATATAAAGTTACATATTTTCATATGAAAAAAATGTTGTTATATTACAATTTTTGTCTAAAAAATTAAAATAAAATACAAGGTAAAAAAAATATGTAGCTACATAGTAGCAGAAGTGCAGAACAGCAGCAGCAGCAGCGCATATAAGGAGCAGCACGCCAGCACAGAAGCGGAACACCAGCACAGAAGCAGCCCCATTAGTTGAACAAATTTTTGCATTATTTCGACATGATCTTCTGAAATCCACAAGAGAAGAATATTATCAGTATCAGATTTTTCAGTGACTTTGAAGCGCCAAAACTCAAAACATATAATACAGTATGTCAGTATATGAGCAAAACAACTACTGGCTTAAGGATATTAATAAAAAAAAGTCATGTAAAATCCGAAAAAAGTAGACATGTATAGCTCTTGAACATTTACATACTTTATATACAAGTATGAGACATTTACATACTTTATATAGCTCTTGAACATTTACATACTCTATGAATATTGCTTTTGTCCATCTCATACACTTCCAAAAGAAAATTGCAATTCATCATTCAAGAGGCAACAATTTGAATTTTACCAGTATGCTTTGTGGCTACAGGTAAGTGAACTAGGTACAGATCCATATAATCAAGTCGAAGTTGCTTCAAACTGTCTTTGCACACTTCATGTACATGTCCATGGTCAGAGCTCCACAGCTCCAATAGGATTATACATGATAAGTGAGTGTAAATGTCATCTGATGATCAAAGTTCCTCCCAAAATAAGAAATTTTGTCCTCACTTAACCTTAGTGGTTATGAATAGATCCTCCCTTTTCACAAGCCCAACTTGAATTGCTTCAGCAAGTGCCTCCCCAACCTCAGCTTCATTATGGTAAAAAGCTACAAGAATCATACCCGATTACACATCGTAATTTTATCACCAAAGACAGTAAGATAATAGTACATTGTAATGAACATGAGAGTTTTCTACTTGTCATTCTAAGGCTTGTGCTTGTGCTTGTGCATGTACATGGCTTTGAAATAAAACAACCCTAGACTTTGTGAACTTAATAGTCATTTTGAAACAAGAAACAGAACCATAATCACACAACAACATCACCTGGTCAGAAGCTTAGAATGAGGGGCGATCAGAATAGTCAATTTGTAAAATCCTTTTTTTTTATCATATCTCATCTACTCTTTAAATTCAAACAATCAATCATAGATTCCAGTTCATGAGCAATGCCTAGCAAAGTGGTGCAGTGGTGCACATCTTAGTGCCTTAGTACATTACGGTCTTAGACCAAGCTTGAGCTTGACACGAGCTAACTAAATTCGGATTTTGACCGAGCTGATTTGGTAGCTATCAATCAGGCAAGGGTTATTGTAGACACCTAAAAATGTCTCCCCAAAACAAAACCCGATGATGATCAATCTTTCAACGCCATTATTAGTCGGGTTGAGTATTTAATCTTGGAGTGCTTAAATCCATATTTCCATTTCATAAACCAACCCAATTCCTATCCCATTTCCCCAAACCATAACTTATTTTCCTCTTTTCGTGCCTTTAAACCCAAAATAATTCATTTCGTGTCCTTTAAAATCATTCATTTCGTGTCCTTTTTATAAAACGTTAAATCCAGTTTTATTTGTCCATAATCAGGGTCCAATGATTGAATAGTTGGATGGGATTTTAAAAGAGCTTTCCAACGATATATTATAAGCCTAAATCCGAGTTATAACGAATAAGTTATGGCCAAAATATTAAACTGAGCCCAAACTAAACATAAGCCCACCTTACCTACGACCCAATGATCATAAGTTTAATCCCATTATTTAATCCCATTCCTAAACCAATTAGGATTAATTGGAAGATTTTATAAGTTTCTAAAATATCTTAATTATCCTTTTTGAAAAGATAAGATCAAAGAGTTCGAAATTGAATAAAACTCCTCTTTTTTAAAGTCCTATTTTATCCGAATTGAAAGACGTTCAAAGATAGACAAATATGAATTTCGTCCCACATATTTTTTGTCTGAATTTTATATGGTTGGATAGCCCTTGAAGTTATCTTTCCAATGATATATTATAATATCAATTCCGAGCTATAACGGAAAAGATATGAATAAAATGTCAAACTCTATCCAAAACTGACACCGTCTCATTATTTCGGCTATATCTTTTGTTCTACAAAATATTTTAATCTGATTGCAATTGGGTTAGTAAGTAGACTTCAAGATCTTTCCACCTATATCTTATTAATCTTATTCCAATTTCTGTATCAAAAGATATGATAAAAACAAAAACCGCAAAAACTGTTGTCTATCGCAAGAGTTTTATCCGATTCGAATTTTTATCTTTTCTTGATTCGACCCCTCTTTTTTCCTTATAAATAGAGGTCATATCTCCCCTTTTCCAAAAAAAGCATCAACAATCTTGATCATCAAATAATTCTCTTCTCTCTCTTTAGCCTAAACACTAGCCACCCTATTCTCCCAAAATACTTCCCCTAAGCACTCCAAGGAGTTCATACAATACCCAAAGTTCTATACTTTAACCAAGGCGTGAAAGGTATAATTAACTGAGGGTTTGGACCAAATCAAATATACATTTATTTAATTTAATTTCCATTTGATTTATTTTTATTGAAGTTACTAACAGTTTATTCATGATGTAGCAATTCAAGGAAACGCGGAATGTGAGTAATTAATCACTTAATTACTCTTATTTTTATTCTTATTGCTAGTATCATGATTAGGGTTATTATTTATTAAATTTGACTAACAATTTATTTTTAAATTGCTTCCAATATTAATGATAATTCTATTATTATTTATTAATCACAACATTGCATGTTAAAGGGATTATGTAATTGAAAATCACGCCTAATAAGATAATTTGGACAACCGGTTTAGGATCCTTTTTAATCTTGTTGTTTAATCAAGTGCTCACAATATTTTAGAATAATATGTTGCATTAATATTCAACCAATTTAGATTAATAATAGTTTGGAGCAAATTGAATCTCTATTTGTATGCCTTTGAGATTGCAGGAATGCTTTTCACTATAAGAATCGAGTAGAGGCCAATACGGGCGAATGTGACTCCATGACTCACTTCGTACCATCATCCCTGATCCTCCTTTCGTGGTTCCGAACCATATGGATTTAGTAATCTCATGGATTATGAATGGGATGTAACCTTCACGGGTCAATCGTTGTTGCCTTCGTTGTCCATTTATCGTGGTTGCCTTAAATGATCCGTGAACGGTTTACAAGTTCCTTAAAAACTTGTTGGCGGCTCCCTACTTTCCTTGTCCCTAATCGTATATGTCAATTCCCACTTCTTATGAGTGCCAAGCATATTCACAACATGCTTTAAAGTAGACGCACATCGAGCGACGCCTACAATTTGGCAACTCCACTGGGAGGATTCTTGGTTATTTATCGATTTGAGTGATCGATATTTAATTGAGATGAGTGGATGAGACTTGAAAGATTCTTGAATTGTATTCCAGCGATTTAATTGGCATTGTCACATATGCATATGCATTTTAGGTCACCTATTTTGCCACAATAGTACGTGTTCTACGTATGTGGCTAGCCCTGGGGATTTAAGCTCTATCAACCCAAAAACGTTCATGACAATAAGAGTTAATCCGAGGTTTTTAAATCCACCCAAACCATGGAGTCGAGTTCGATTTCATCACGAACTCGCGGAGCCGCCCTTTTGCATACACCCTCAAGGGAGGTTGCCTTGCTAACGCGTCCAAACTCTTAACCATGGTACCCTTTGACACCCAAAAGCTTGACCATAGTGGAACATAGATCTTGACTCTAGGTTGCGAACTTCATTGCATCATTCGTGACGATGTGCTTATATGTGCATTTTTTTTATTGATTTTTTTTAATTATTTTTTTTATTAAACTGTTTTTATTTTTTATTATTTTTTTTAGAGTCGAGTCATAGATTTTTTTTAATTTTTGAGTCACCCGGATTTTTATTCCCGTATACTGCGCAAGAGTCAACTTCTTTTGGTCATATCCGGAGTTCTAGAAAGAGTTACGTGTCATACAACCTATGGATCTGTAGCCCCGAGTTTTATCTTTCATTTGGAGCTAGTTTCGTCCTAATCAGAGTCACAGATCAAAAGGTATAACCGATATACTACAACCTGTCCAGTTTAGGTGTCTTTTTAACGTTACCTTTTTTTATTTTATTTTATTTTTTTAAAAAAAAAATAAAAAAAAAATCTTGTCAAGCTAGTCTTATCCAAGTCCAAGAGTCAAGATAGATTTTTATTTTTATTTATTTTTTTATTTTTTTATATCCATGAGTCATAACTCTTCTAGAATTCTAGTCCTCTTCCTAGTTTCTTGTGATCTATTTTTGTGTTAACCTTAACATGTGTTCTTTTTCTTTGATTGTGATCGATCTTATTTATGACTAACGATTGCCAATGGACCGGTTTCACCTAGTAAATAGCATAAACATTAAAATTGGATAAAATTAATCAAGTTAGTTTGTCTTTTAGTCTTCCGTGCTATTTGGTCATTGGGCCCTTTGTTTTTCACAACTTCCTCATGTCTAGCCATGCGATCATACCACGAGTCTTAATAAACTCACCTAATCACACATGTTGAGTCATTGCACACACTTTGTCTTCGAGTAATGCACTATATTGTTTATGATTGTATACTAGTGCATCGCTTTCCGTCGTAATAGGAATGAGTGGAGTATTTCCCATCAGTTTTCAAAATTATTTCATACACTCTTCCATTCCAATTAGAGTATTGAGTGAATGCATTAAGTGAGTTCATCCTCACACAGTACTTGAGTCTAAAATCACTATGAAATAGTTGGAAGAATAAGGGGAACATCACTCCTTCCTTCTTTCCTTCCAATAAAAACATCAACAACAAGAAACTTTTTTCCTCACTAGGCGGAAAGAAGTTACACATAAACAGCCATGAAGATAAAGCACAATGCAAGCTTCTCACCAAGATTTCATGTTTTCTTCTTCTTTTGTTTCAAACCCTTCCCCCTAAAAGTCTAACATAGGTTCTCCTTATCCATGTGTCTATGTGTCACATTTCTTACCTTCTTCATAAATGAGCATCTCTTTCTTACATTTGATCCCGTAATTATCAAAAAAAAAATTGCCGAACTAAACACAAGGTACACCAATTACTTGAGGCACCTTTGGAACCCTGTCATTCCCTATTAACCATTTAATCACATATCCATTTCTTCGTCAACCACTTTGAGCCTCGTCTAACGATTGACCTTATTTATTCAACCCACATTCACTTAACCCTGGGATGGGAATGTGTGCAATTTGTGTAACAGTCAGAAAGCAAGTTCAAATAAAAAAAAGAGAGAAAAGAATAAGTAAATAAAAAAATAAAAAAAAATGTGTAAAGGAAAGTGTTCCAATGTCTCCGATATGAACATGTCTCAAATTGCGTCTCTCAACGAGTGATTGGTACCGTGCCTGAGAAACATGAATGCTAAGTGAGTGATGGACCGCATGATCTAAGATTGCCTACATTGATTCACAGGAATTGAAAAAAAAGAAAAAAGAAAAAGAAAAAAGAAATTCAAAACAAAAAAATATATGAAAAATAAAACTTGCAAAATCTAATACACAATTGCATATCTTAGGGGCTTCTCTCGGGTCTTGAGCCTTTTACCCCTTTCTTCCTTAAACCTTCAGCTTAACCACCTTACAACCCTTGAAAGACCTCTTTGAGGTGTACACACACTTGTGCAAAGTTCGGTTAGAGCTACGTTTGGCCTGATTCCTAACGAATACGTAGGCAACCTCACATCGAGGTGCGACCACATTCATATTCATATCCATGCATGATCGAGTCAAAGAATATCCAATGCTTACCCGTACCCATCTAGAGCTAGACTTGGGGGCTTGAACCCAAATCATTTAGCCTACCTAGCCTAAAGAGTCATCATCTTTGACTCTTCTCACATCTCTTTCCATCGCCACCCTTGCAGCCAGCGTTAGTATCACATTCACACACTTCACTCACACATCCATATCCATATCAATCATCCTTCTCTTTAAGAGCCCTTTATCATGATATCTTGTTTCAACACTGTGCATGTTTCATCATATTTAAAGAAAACATTCATTAGAAGAAACATTGTATACTTGCTTAGCTTCCTGACCTGAGTAATATTCATTGTTTCATGCATCGCATAATGTGCCGAGAAACATTTATATATCAATGATTTTTAATCATACAAAGCATATCGTGCTTAGCTTCTTGATCTAATCAACATTCATTATGTAATACTCAATAATAACTTCATCTAAATACGTGCTTAGCTTCCAGACCTAAGTGACGTTCAAGATCGTTTCTTTACACCATATATGATGCTTAGCTCCATGACCTAAGTTAATTCATCTACCGTGTCACATGATGTAATTGTCCTTAGCCTCTAGCCTAAGAACATTCATCATGCATACATTATTTTCAAGACAAGCAATTCAATCCATACGATTCATTTCGTCTTGCTTAAGGAGGAAGTTCAAAACTTCTTCCCTTTTTCATTATTTTCTTTTCGGGAAGTTCAAAAACTTTTGCAAAATTTTTATCGAGAGAAGTTCGAAAACAAAACTTCATTTTTCACGTATTTCTTTTTCGGGAGAAAGTCAGTACCTTCCACTCGTCTCATAACAAAAATTGACGGAAAATTTTTGCTTTTGCATCTTCGTTTGCTTGTGTCAGCACACACACATATACACACACACAGTCACAAGTCATACACATGTCATGTCACATCAAGTCAGTGGTTAAGTCAATCACAATACATACGAGTCCATTGGCAAATTTATTTTTGCAGGTCTCATCTACAGCTCACGTTCGAGGACAAGCTAACCAACTACAGCCCACGTCCGGGGACAAGCAGACCATCTACAGCCCACGTCCGGGGACAAGCGGACCATCTACATCCCACGTTTGGGGACAAGCGAACCGTTTACATCCCACGTTCGGGGACAAGCGAACCAACTACAACCCCCGTTCGGGGACAAGCGGACCAGCTACAACCCACGTTTGGGGACAATCGAACCACCATCATTTCATGACGCAAGGTTATCGATACACAGAGACTTGCAATCTTATCATCTATCGACTTTCCTCAAGCATGGAAAGTATTATCCGGTGGATTTTTTCAAGCATAGAAAACCGCTAAATTCCTTTTTCGACTTTCCTCAAGCATGGAAAGCATTATCGGTGGACTTCTTCAAGCATAGAAAGCCACTAAATTCATATGTCAACTTTCCTCAAGCATGAAAAGTATCATCTGGTAGGTTTCTTCAAGCTTAGAAAGCTACCAAACTCATTAGTCGACTTTCCTCGGACATGGAAAGTATTTCAACAAAACGTCATCCGGTGGATTCCTTCAAGCATAGGAAGATACCAAACTCATTTTTCACCGATACACTGGTGTCAGCGTTCTATCCCTTTTACTCTTTTATCTATGGAATTAACCTTTTTTTACAAGTATCGGTGTATAAAGAGTGATTTAGGATCGCAGAACGTCTTAAATCATTCTCCGTCCCTATCGACTACTTTGACTATCGTTTTCGAAACTAACGATCCTACAAACTCAGTCAAAGTAGGGGCTTCTGTAGACACCTAAAAATGTCTCTCCAAAACCAAAACCGAGGATGAACAACCTTTCACCGCCATTATTGGTCAGGTTGAGTATTTAATCTTGCAGTGCTTAAATCCATATTTCCATTTCATAAACCAACCCAATTCCTATCCCATTTCCCCAAACCATAACTTTTTTTCCTCTTTTCGTGCCTTTAAACCCAAAATAATTCATTTCGTGTCCTTTAAAATCATTCATTTCGTGTCCTTTTTATAAAACGTTTAATCCAGTTTGTTTTGGTCCTTAATCAGGGTCAGATGATTGAATAGTTGGATGGGGTTTGGAAAGAGCTTTCCAACGATATATTATAAGCCTAAATCCGAGTTATAACGAATAAGTTATGCCCAAAATATTAAACTGAGCCCAAACCGAACATAAGCCCACCTTACCTACGACCCAATGATCATGAGGATGGTCCAAATTATTTAATCCCATTCCTAAACCAATTAGGATTGATTGGAAGCTTCTATAATTTTCTAAAAAAATCTTAATTATCATTTTTGAAAAGATAAGATCAAAGAGTTCGAAATTGAATAAAACTCCTCTTTTTTAAAGTCCTATTTTATCCGAATTGAAAGACGTTCAAAGATAGACATATATTAATTTCGTTCCTCATATTTTTATCTGAATTTTATATGGTTGGATGTCCCTTGAAATTATATGTCCAATGATATATTATAATATCAATTCCGAGCTACAACGAAAAAGATATGAATAAAATGTTAAACTTTATCCAAAACTGACACCGTCTCACTATTTCGGCTATATCTTTTGTTCTACAAAATATTTTAATCTGACTCCAATTGGGTTAGAAAGTAGAATTCAAGATATTTCCAATGATATCTTATTCATCTTATTCAAATTTCTAGATCAAAAGATATGATAAAAACAAAAATTGCAAAAACTGATGTCTATCGCAAGAGTTTTATCCGATTCGAATTTTTCTCTTTTCTTGATTCGACCCCTCTTTTTTCCTTATAAATAGAGGTAATATCTCCTCTTTTCCAAATAAAGCATCAACAAGCTTGATCATCAAATAATTCTCTTCTCTCTCTTTAGCCTAAACACTAGCCACCCTATTCTCCCAAAATACTTCCCCTAAGCACTCCAAGGAGTTCATACAATACCCAAAGTTCTATACTTTAACCAAGGCGTGAAAGGTATAATTAACTGAGGGTTTGGACCAAATCAAATATACATTTATTTAATTTAATTTCCATTTGATTTATTTTTATTGAAGTTACTAACAGTTTATTCATGATGTAGCAATTCAAGGAAACGCGGAATGTGAGTAATTAATCACTTAATTACTCTTATTTTTATTCTTATTGCTAGTATCATGATTAGGGTTATTATTTATTAAATTTGACTAACAATTTATTTTTAAATTGCTTCCAATATTAATGATAATTCTATTATTATTTATTAATCACAACATTGCATGTTAAAGGGAATATGTAATTTAAAATCACGTCTAATAAGATAATTTGGACAACTGGTTTAGGATCCTTTTTAATCTTGTTGTTTAATCAAGTGATCACAATATTTTAGAATAATATGTTGCATTAATATTCAACCAATTTAGCTTAATAATTGTTTTGAGCAAATTGAATCTCTGTTTGTATGCCTTTGAGATTGCAGGAATGCTTTTAACTATAAGAATCGAGTAGAGGCCAATACGGGCGAATGTGACTCCATGACTCACTTCGTACCATCATCCCCGATCCTCCTTTCGTGGTTCCGAGCCATGTGGAGTTAGTAATAATATCATGGATTATGAATCGGGTGTAACCTTCACGGGTCAATCGTTGTTGCTTTCGTTTTCCCTTTATCGTGGTTGCCTTAAATGATCCGTGAACGGTTTACAAGTTCCTTAAAAACTTGTTGGCAGCTGCCTACTTTCCTTGTCCCTAATCGTATATGTCAATTCCCACTTCCTATGAGTTCCAAGCATATTCACAACATGCTTTAACGTAGGCGCACATCGAGCGACACCTACAGTTATTATCATTCCTATACTAACAACTTGCATAGAAACAAATATTTCCCAAAGTGTAACAATGGACATACACATGCACAATTGAATCAGAAATAGACTAAAACATTAATTATTTTTAAATAGCTGCCAATCATGACATGTTATAGAAATGTAAAAACTCCTGTAAAGATAATCGCTAGGCAGTAGTAAGCAAAACAGCACAACAAATTTCTCTTTAAAAATTCTTTTCACGAGAAGACGTCAGTAAAAAACTATCTATACAACATTTACATAGATTCACACAAATTTCAATTGAGTCATACCGGCTTACCCTATTACAATGAGTGTAGTTGAATTGGATATAAGAAATATTTTTTCCTTTCAAAGGTTAGACATATACAGATTAAAAGGGCAATTAAATAAGAAAATTGTCGCATTCAAGTTGTTCTTTTTGTAATTTTTTTAGGTAAAAGTATTCATGTTGTTCTTAAATACCTCTCTAGATGTCTTTATAATGGTGAAGGGATTCGAACTCATGTTTTTATGTTTTATCCCTCAAGACTTTAATCAACTAAATTAGTTGATTGTCCACGTGACCACATTAGTTGTCACTAATCATATTATTTGAAAACTTTCAACCCTTTATAGGAGTAATGACATGATTTTACATGAGTGCCCTTTATATATAATGGATGCGTTGATTTTATCATATTCTTCTTAGTGGTGATGCACTAATGATAAAGCCAATCATAGAAAATAATAATAACAAAAACAGCCATCACAACCAAATTTAGAATTAATAAACCTGTTGTGGCACTCATCTAAATCTACGTATTGTCCAAAGCATTCTTCACCACTGAAGGGTATCTTCATGTTTTGTAAATTTGCCAACATGTCTTCGTAGTGTTCACCATCACGGACCACCGCGGAAGCTGCCTTGGGGTTTTTAACATGTACACCTTTAACATGTCATAAAACTCGTCAAACACCTTACTATTATTACTATTAGTATTGTAAACATCCATCGTAACAAATTTTCCTTGACAACTTTTTAATTCGTCTCTCAAATTTAATTGATTATTTTCTTTCCAATCAATGTTTCTCTCGTAGACTAAGACAAGCTAATAAATGACAAGCTAATCACATATACTTATAAGTGAGGAACCAACCTAAGTTTATACACAGTAGCTTGATCATCACGGAAAAATCCAATATAAGTGCAATTTTACAAACCTGAAGTAAAGACTAAATTTAGGGGCTTTTCCTCCAATAGTTGAAAATTATACTTCAATAACTACTTTACGCCATTAAGAATGGAATCAATGATGTATTAGCTAGGTTGTATAAAAATTACTCCATAATTTACCATGTTTTCAATTAATTATACCGAACATCTACATTAAAACTTTGCAAAGTATTAACAATTAATATGTAATTAATTAATGTGAGAGGAATGTAGTGGACTATTGAGCATTTATATGTAGCATAGGACAAACTCAAATCAAATAAACGTGTTAACAAGAACAATGGAATAGAACTAAAGGACAAATACAGTAATATATGCAACATACACTAAGGTCCAAAGTCATTGGACTAGAACAATCAGAAATTAACAATGAAAAAAAAAAACAAAATTGAAACAAAACCATATAAAAATAGATCTTCAGCAAACGAGCAATCAAAAAACGAATCGCAATCAGAAATCACAATCAACATCAAAAGCATCATCCATCACTTCTCCAAGAACAAGTCCACCCATTGCTCCTCCTAACAGACCAGCTCCCAATCCCATTCCCATTCCACCACCCTCAATTAACACACCAAGAACAAAGAAGTGGAATAGTCTATAATTTGAGCAAAAATGATGCATCTATGAAGCTTGAGAAATAAACATATACGTAGTACATAAATTCAAATGCTGGAAGATAGAGCTAAACTCAGAAATTACCAGAAGCAACCATTGCTTTAGGACCCAACTCTTCAAAAAACTCAGCTTCTGAACCCTTTTCAAGGACAGTGTGACAATACCTCTGAAACAAGAAGTAAACAAATGCTTTCCCATTAATACAATTAATCTAATTATCCAAATCCCTATAAAAACTAAATTATGTGATTCATATCACGATTTAGATATTCAAGGTTGAGGAAGAACAGGGCAAGGAATGGAGACTTTGAATTTTTTATTCAGCCACCACGCCTAACCAACTAACCCGCCTTAACCACCACATGCACCACCTAAACCCACCACATGCACCACCTAAACCCACCAGATCCACCACCTTAACCCACCCCAAACCGAACCCACACACCAGACTGACCACCTTGACCCACCCTAAGTCCCTAACCCAAACCCACACACCAAACCGACCACCTTAACCCACCCTAACCCGAACCCACCTTAACTAACCTAACCCGAACCCACCCAACTAACCAAAATTATCACCTAAACCCACCTAATCCGAACCCAAACACCTTAAACCACCCAACTAACCAAGATCTATCACCCATCTTATTAGAAATCAAGAAAAACCCAGAAACCCTAGACCTCGATTGATAGAATCAAAACATATAACACTAATAAAATTAGGGGAAAACACAAAAAATCAAAATCGATTATTCAAAAGTGCACAATTAAAAGGAAATAATAGAATATACTTGGTTTCTGGGGTTCGCCATCTTTGAATTAGCAAAATAGAATCGTCGTCAAATTCGTCAAAGGAAGAGGGAGTGGAAGAGCAAGGAGAAGTTTCCATTGATGAGAAACAATGGAGGTTAGTGAAGGTAATAAAAATGGTGCAGGGAGAGAAAGAGAGTAGTGGTTTGATCTGGTTTTTCCATTGAGGAGAGAGGAGAGACTGAGAGACTGAGAGAGAGGACGAGAAGGAAAGAGAAAGAAAAAAGAGGGGAAAGAGGGAGAAATAAGAAGGGTAGGGCCGTTGGAGTTAGGTTTAACACAGCTAATTCCCACCAGTTCAAACCGGTGGCCTTTAACACATATGCCACCAGTTTGGTTTGAACCGGTGGCAATTCAAAAAAGCCTATTCCAGCCCATTTTTTCCCCACCGGTTTTTAAAAACCGGTGAACAAGGCTCGCTGCCTTTTTGTATTTTTCTACTAATATCAGTTATAAAGATGCTAAGATTAGCAAAGTAGTTATACCTAAACCTATGCAATAAGTGAATGACAACATTCACAATTGCATGAAAGAAATCAAGCATATTAGATATGGGTGTGATTTCTATAGATGTTTTATAAAGAGTGATACTCTTAAAACATTCGGAAAAACCATTTATCATAAGATGAACTGTATGGAATATTTTAAGCTTTATCCCTAGCTTGAACCCCACTGTGATCATACACTAAAGTACGGTGTCGTCCAAAGGGAAAGAAGATAGAGCAAAAGAGTCGCCAACAAGTTTTAGGAACTTGTAAACAGTTCATGAGGTGAAGGTTACACCCCTTAACGATCCAAGAGATCGTCAACTCCAATAGGTCTAGAACCAAGACTGGTAGTTCGGGGATGAAGGTACAAATCCAACCTAAAAGAGATTGAACCTGCCCTAATAATAGGCCTCTACTTTATTCTGATCGTATTCATGTGCGCTTTCTTACTAACATACAACCAATAGGTTTAACCTTAAACCTGTTTATCTATGTTGGTTGAATTTAATGCACAAATAAACTATTATTAGCGATCACTTGAATTATAATCATATTAACCCTAAACAAGATTATTAATTATCTTATTAAGCGTGATTACAAGTACAAATTCCCTTTAAACATGCATAAAAGGCGTGATTAAGCAATAAAAATAAATATATACATCAAGCAACATAATAATAATAATAATCATAAAAATAATTATAACAATTATAATAATCATGTTAAAGCATAATAATAATAGCAAGACCCTAGGCATGATACTAACAAGATTAATAACAAACCCTAGCATGTTATTAAACAATAAAGATCAAATATATAGCTCTAACATGATATTAAAAATCATAAATATTAGGAAGAACATAGGAAGCATTGATTAGGGGATTTTGCTCCCACCAATCGGAATGCGCCACGTGGACCAATCAGGTCCTGCCAAGTGTCCCCCAGTTGGAACAGTCAGGGCTTCCCACGTGGCACGCGCTTATTCGTCCACCTTGGACCTGTTATGTCAAGACATGTGGCATACTCCATGCCTAATGGAGAAACCGGCCACCCAGGCCCAACTTCCGAGGGAAGCCCAATCGGCCCTAGGTTTACCTAAACCTAGGATGGGCACGTTTTCCAAGGTTATAAATACCTCCCTTAATCCTCATTAAGGGGGAGAACAAAAACATTACGGAAAAAACACATTAATTACACACAGTAATAACCGACTGATCTCGCTAACAAAGCAGATTACCTACATTAAACACTCTCACCTAGAGAGACCAAATCACTTTAATTTCCGCATTAATTACTCCTTAATCAGGTACTAACTTGACCGTTGGAGGCGGAGCTCCCAGGAGTCTCCGTTGTTTTGCAGGTACAGGCGTCCGGTTCCAGTCTCGGAATTGTAACTCTCCCGCAGGACATCAGAAAACCCCGAAACAAGCATCATACTTTTAATCATACTTGATATTAAAGTTACCCTAGACATGATACCAGGAATTTATTGTTGTCACCTTAAACATCAAAATAAGGAAAACATCCTAACATGATACTAGGAATCATAATAACAAGCTAACCATGATTTCTATATCATAATAACAATGTAAAGAATTAAAGCACTTACTTGGATGCCTCGTACCTCTTTCTAATAACAAAATACACACATTAGTAACTTCAAGGAAAATATTAAAACAAACAATTAAATTAAATATTTGAAAGAGAGATTTGGGACCAAACCCTCAGAAATCAAAACCTTTCACGTCTAGGGCGAAGGCAACTTCGAATATGGCTAGGTGTATCTAAATCTTGCGAATGCGGAATTTTGTATTTGAGAAAAGGCTAGTTTAGAAAAAAGAGTAATCAAGAGATTCTTGATGAGAGTTGGTGAATGAAAACGGAGTTTTTAGGAGGCTATTTATAGAGAAAATCAGCCAAAAAGATAAAAAAATCAAAACAGAGTTCTGACGCGTAAAACGAGGGTTAGCACCAGACGCTGACATTAGCGCTAGGCGCTAACGCTAGCGTCACGCGCTAATGCTGGCGTTTGGCGCTAACTTAATTGTTGACACGTTTTCTAAAATTATATAGAAATTGTCGTATAGGAGGATAAAACCGTATTTTCCTCAAAAAACATCCTTTTATTCTGATTAAAATTCTAAAAAGTCAACAAAAGTCAATTTATCAATGCTAATTGAATTAGAAATGAAAAGAACCTTCTAGAAGAATCTAGAGGACTAAAACCATTTCTAATTGCATTAGGAATGATAAATCCATATAAGGCCCTCCTCTAGATCATTGGGCCGCATATAAGGCTCAAACCGGGCCCAGTTCAGTAATTTGGCCATAACTTCCTCAATATTCACCGGAATTGGGCTTATAATATATCGCCGGAAAGGTCTTTTCAAACCTTATCCAACTACACTACTATTGGACCCATATCATAGACCAACCAAACTGGATTGGCTGTTTTCTTAAAATAGGTTTTCAAAAACAGAGAGAAGAGAAAAGAAATTAAAACTATCCGCAACACTAAACTTTCCACACTTTCACTTCATTCGATTACGATTCGACGTGAAAGGTACTCATCACTGGGTTTGGTTTTGGGGAGACACAAATGGGTGTCTACATGAACCATTCATTTTTTGGAGTAATTTAAAATTTCATGCAATTTTTATCACTCCGTTTGCTATTTAATTGTGGTTTAGAATTAAATAATGAGTCCATTCGATTCTTGGAATATTCAAAATAGGGTATCAAGACAAGTCTTGGTAAGGAAACACCTATAAAGTGAACGTTGAATATTATAATCGAAAATTATCCCTAACCGAGGTCATTTAAACGATGGACGATTAATGAACAATTGAGATTAGTGTGTAGTCTGATTTATAGCACCGTTTCTTGTGTTACGAGGACATGATTGTCATAAATCATTTGCACAGGTATTGATTTAGAACCATACTGGATCGACCTATGAGAATACTTTAAGAGATTAAAAATCGTCATAAGTTTACTTCTCATTATGGCTATTGGAACCTATTTCCTCGACCATGAGTATTGTGAGTTCTCTTGTTTGAGTACTAGTCCGCTTTGATGTTGTCAAACGTCTGCCGTTATAGGGGATTATAACGGCAACACTCGGGCGGCTAGGTCCTCTCAGTAAGAGGAGCTACATTACAAGACTTGGAATGTCCCCCTACTAAAATAGGGAAGATGTCTTTGTTGTATACAAGGCCTCTAGTAGAGTGAGACTGTAAAAATGCATGGTCGTGCTCTGATGAATTTTAGAAATCATCTGTTTATTGACAGTCGGACTCGGAATCGAGAAACACTTCTGGATGTAATAAGGATGACAAAATAATCTTACATTATAGTTCACGAAGAGACATTAAGCGACATAGGAAAAAGGGTGTACACTAAATGCTCACTTGTCTGGAAGGACAAGTGGGAGATTGAAAGGAAAGATATCCTTCGAACAAGTGTACTATTCCGTTAATGGGTTCAGAATTATTATAAAGCTAATATATTAAGTAAGGTCAGGTGATCGGAATGCCTAGGTGGAGGTCGCTTACGATCAGTAATATTAATGCATAATTAATATTACAGCTTAATCTTGACTAAACCCTTCGGGTCACACCCTTAGCAGTAAACGAACCGACTCTACGAATTAATTCGGAAGAAATTAATTCGTCGCCCGAGTGTTAAATATTTAGACATCGGTAATTCGAGCTCCGAGCGTCGAAAGTCAAGTCAAAAATAATAAGTGACGAGACGCGCAAAATAATAATAAATCAACCATATTCCCAAAATACCCCTAGCATCAGAGTGCAACGAGCATTCGAGTGTTAGGGGAAAAAAGTCCTAGCATAGGTGGCTAGCAAGCGCACCAAGCCGAGCCATACATGGTCGGATGTTGCGTGCTAGTGCACCATAGCTAGCAGCAGGCTAGCAGCCGCAAGCAACGCATGCTAGCAGTAGCTAGCTGCCGCAAGCCTTGCGTTCTAGCAGCGCATGCAAGGGCCAGCAGCCCTTCCTTGAGTACCTTTTGATAGGAGGGAAGAGATGAGAAGAGAAATGGAAAGATTTATTTTTCATACCTCTTAAATTAATCATTCAAATGATGGAAAGATTTGGAATAAAAATATAACCTTATCTTCTTTTTCCATTTTCATTCCTCATCCTTCCCAACACTCTTCCACTTTGTTACCCAAACAAAATGTAAATTGTTAGAGAGATTTGAAAATAAAAATGGAAGTCACGTTTTCCTTCCCTCTTTTTTCTTCCCCTTCCTTTCCCTTTACTATTATTATTCAAACATAGTGTAAATCCAGATAAGTTAATACTCCCTTCACCCCTTAAATTTTGCCCCACTTTCCTTTTTAAGATGTTTATTTATTTTTACTTTATATCATACATGGCTATAAAGACCACTAATTTTCTGTCTCAAACAATGAAACAATATTCCGTATTTTGAATCCACCATTATTTTCACTTATCAAAATGACACAAAATTTTTTTAATAAAATAAGCATGTAATTATGGGGGCAAAAATAAAATGGCAGATGGATTAATAAACTGCAAATCATGTGAGAAACTCACAATCTAATTCATAAGAGACACTCCAAATAAAAAAAGGAAAGAAAAAAAAGGTAACTTTGAGGAGCGAAGAGAGTTGGGAGGACAACTCATAATAATAACCTTAAATTTTTTTTTCTCTCAAAGCAAGCAGGTCCTTTTCTCTAAAAAAATACCAAGTCGATTCTTAGGTTTCTAGGGTTCTCCTGTTTGTTCTTTGTTGTTCTTGATTTTTTTCCTCTAAATTC